GCAAAGCCGCCTTGGTATAAATCATGTATGTAACGGGAAATCTTGCTTATTTCAGTCGAATAAAGTCAACCTTTTTTTTTGATAATGTACGCAACATGCTGCGCATTTTACATTTAACAAAACAAGTTTTTGAAGCTAAATTAAACGATATGAATAATTCATCAATATGTGATTACAATCCGCGCATTTGTATTACGGCTGAAAAGTGTAGAGGTATCATATTCTGTCAAAATAACAGCGGCTCTGAGCGCGCTCGGTTGGCAAATAGCCCGACATCGCACAAATCATTTCGGGTTTCAATCGGGAAATCCCAAATCGTAGCAATTTATGGAATATTTCCGAACGCCACATACTCTTACTCTTTCAATTTATGGAATATTTCCGAACGCCACATATCCTAAGAACAGCATTCAAACATGAAATTGTTTGTCTATACTTTTAAGGGCCACGAACATATACTAGCTGTTCTAGGAGATAAAATAGCAAAATTTGAGGCTCGAGCGTTGGCCACTTATACAGCGTAGAATTTATAGCTCAATATGTTTGCATAAGACAGTATGCAATCGACGTAGTTATTTGCCTGACTCGTCCCCAGTCGCTTCATGGTCCTTTGCGTTAGAAGCAGTGTTAGGGACTGTGGAAGAGTCAGGTTATTTGCGACGTTCATGATAGGGACTACTGAACACTTCCAAAGCTAATAAACCTATATCTTAATATCCTATAACTTAGGACATTTTATCATCAAACAATACATTTATAGACTTATTAGACTATACAAAATGGAAACGTTTACTTGTTATACTATAGATAACAGCAAGATAAGAAATTATTTTATTACTGGAGATTTGTTGCGTTAAATTTTCCTGTATTTATCTAGCGCATAAAAGGAAAAAGTACGAAAAAATATTAAAATTAAAAATATGAAAAAATGCGTTTTTAGCACATTTTATGACCCACGACTTTACCCACGACTTTACCCACGACTTTACCCACGACACACGACTTTTAACCCACGACACACGACATATAGGGACACTCGATAATACCAAGTGTAATCAGGCAATCCGGTACGCTCCGGTACTATAAATAGGTTTCGGCAAGTATATTTTAACATTGTCGTTTTATTTACTCGCTTTTAAATATTTTATAGCTGTTGTTTGCTTCGCTTTACAATTATTTATTATTTCTAGCGAAGACAAATAAAGATAGCGGTAATAACATTGACTTCTTGCTTTCAAAAGGGCAAAATTTAATGAAATACTCGTCAATTTTCGATAAGAGCGAGACAAAGCAACGTCGGGTGGTCAAGCTTTGTAAACAAAGTTATAATTCACAAGTACTGTCGAGAAAACGTCCAAAATGGTCAAAACTTATTATTTGTTTCCGTGGCAACGACAAAAGATACGAGCTGGCGACAGAGCGAAGCGGCATAGTGTAAACACCCTTGATTTTGGCTTCGGTGTGAAAATTGATCCAGTATGAAAATCAATCCGGTATAGTGTAATCCCAGTCCAAGACAAAAATATAGATAATGAGTCTATTATGTCTGCATCAAGTTTCTTATTGTATTGACTATGACCTACCCTTATACTTTAGGGTTAACCCTATGCTAGGGATCGCTAATTCGGAAACAGTTCTTGATTTGTGTGAAACCGAGTTGCTGTATTAATCTACTGTATATTTTCAATTTCAAACTGTACTTGAAATTTCAACCTGACATACTTGGAATTCTAAAGAAATGCAAATATCTCAACATCTTGTCACAGATGATGGCTCAAATGGTATTGTCAAACCAAACCAATTATCTCCTTATAAGGATGTTGAGAGGCTGCCTTTTGGAATCATGTGATGTTTTGACCACAATACACATTGAGACAAATTAAGGTGTTGTCTCATGAAACGCAAAATACAGTTGACGCCGTCTACATCAATATGTTACAGAATCTTCAAAGATTACCTATAAGTCACCATTCGTAAGGGTAAGTCTCATTTCATCATCCTTCTAATATTTAACTAACTAATAATACCTAATCACTTTGTGAACGCCATAGTGAACGCTAAGAACTCGCTGCTAATCTTTGTAGGCTTGACAGCTCATCAATTAGACCGTGCACTAGATTTCTGAAGATTGACAGTTGATAATCTGTCACCATCCCTCGACTTTGGTAAGTTTAATTTACAATTCTTGTAATATTTAAATAACTAATCTCCATCAGGAATGAAAATAAAGAAGTTACAAGAAGTGGCTATAGGGGCCTTCTAGATTACAAATTGATTAATTCAAATATGTGCCGCCAGCCAAGCGTTTGTCAAACTAATTTAGATAGAAATATAGTTACATGGAAATATGGAATATACAATAAGTCAATATATATAATAGTATGGTATACACTTAATTACGAAATTGGTGAAATGTAGTAAGATAATGAAACAGAATTATAAATTTGAAACCGTAAGGCCTTTGTAGTACTTGGGCGGTTATGCGAAAAGAAATTATTCACATGTGTCATTTGTAACAATAGCGCGCAGTCAAGCGTAATTGCGTGGTTACTAAATGTTTTCCTTGCCGCACGAGCGTCTGTTTAACCACAGGCGGCCCAATCTCGCAAGGGTCAGTATAGACTTTATATAGTATGAATGTATATTATATTAATGTATATTATAGCAAAAATATGTCGTAAAATATAAATTTTAAAATGAAATTGACTTGCCTATTTGATAGTGTATGTTCTCCTTTTATTCCTCCTTTGTTGGACTAATATTTTCCAAGACTTTGTACTCGATGTTACTAGTATACATGAAACATGATAAAGGCTAACGATTCCCGATCGTCGATACGACGGCACAGCACTTCGAATCGAAAATTTTCACACTCAAGTCGCTTTATTCTCCAAACAAATTCGCCAGCATGTACAACAAATGCCGTTCTTCGAAAATACAGAGGTACTGCGGCGAGATGTACAAGTTTTGGACCATATTTTAACAATGGAAATCAAAACCCATTTTATATTGAACTTACCCGGACCGAAAATTACTACGGCGAACGTCTGCGCAACCAGGCCTCCTTTACCTTTGGATTTACAGGGGGGAGGATGCCACTAATATACTCACGATAATATTTCGAATTAAAGTATCATATTCTACCATACTTTCCAACAAAGAGCCGCTGTATATTACTTCTTCCTTAAATTTCCTCAATCTCCGTCGTTTAATTTTTTTTCTTCGACAACATCTCGAGTTTTATACAGTATCCGATCGAAGGAGTTTTTATTTTGAATATCAAATTTCAAATAATGTAAACAGTCGCTACGCGGCCGCGATTGGCTGGCTGTTACCGGAAATATCTGCTTCCCCCCCTGTAAATCCAACGGTAAAGGAGGCCTGGTTGCGCAGACGTTCGCCGTAGTAATTTTCGGTCCGGGTAAGTTCAATATAAAATGGGTTTTGATTTCCATTGTTAAAATATGGTCCAAAACTTGTACATCTCGCCGCAGTACCTCTGTATTTTCGAAGAACGGCATTTGTTGTACATGCTGGCGAATTTGTTTGGAGAATAAAGCGATTTGAGTGTGAAAATTTTCGATTCGAAGTGCCGTGCCGTCGTATCGACGATCGGGAATAGTTAGCCTTTATCATGTTTCATGTATACTAGTAACATCGAGTACAAAGTCTTGGAAAATATTAGTCCAACAAAGGAGGAATAAAAGGAGAACACACACTATCAAATAGGCAAGTCAATTTCATTTTAAAATTTATATTTTACGACATATTTTTACTATAATATACATTAATATAATATACATTCATACTATATAAAGTCTATACTGACCCTTGCGAGATTGGGCTGCCTGTGGTTTAACAATAAAGGATTTTTTTATAAATTCCTTCTCCTTTGTAACAGAATATTGCAAGATTTGTGCTGTACAAAGCTACTAAAGGTAGAGTAATACGAGCAACAAAATTGCTGCAACTTGCAACAAAATCTGATTTCAACGCATGTTAATTGCAAATGTTTACACATAAATTACAAACCACAAGGCAACATGTGTCGACATTTCTATTTAACATGCGTTGAAATCAGATTTTGTTGCAAGTTGCAGCAATTTTGTTGCTCGTATTACTCTACCTTAAGGCCGAGTTTACACTTTGACGCCACGACAAATTTACCCTAGCGTAGTGCCTCCGGAGTTATAGTACGCTACGGCAAACCACTCCATTACAGTGTAGACACAATACTAATGCCCCTGTTTATATGAACCCTACATGAAGGGCTGGCCTTCCTAGGTGAGATCTCGCTTGCTAATACATTTCCCTATTAAAAATTGTTTTCGTTTATATGAGAGGACTGGAGGGCCAGCCCTATACTAGAGGCAGGATCTCGCCTATAATAGGGCTGGAAATTTTCCATATAAACGCAGCAGGCCCCCTAGTAGGGCTGAGTGAAAAATCTATCGAATCTATTTCAAACTAAACTTTTTAAAGCTTTTAATTTGTAATTTTAAACGAATATTCCAAAGTCTGTTGGTTTTTATTCCAAAATTATTCGGCAAACGATGATTTTGGACTCCATAATAAAGATAATGAGTCGCACGGAAGGCATTATCAAGTGCAACTTGCGAAAGGAAGCCAGCCCTAGCAGTATAGGGCTGATTTTTTATTTTTCTCATGTAAACACGTGGTGAAAATCAGCCCTACTGCTAGGATCTATGGGGTAAGCCCTTTATGCAGGGCTCATATAAACACCTCCTAAGAAACGTAGTGACGAAATTGATTTGTATTCAGAGTGGCAAATGTAGTGTCTCGTAGTTAGCACGCTGCGGCAAACCACTCCGTTATAGTGTACACAATATAGCCTCAATACTAGAAACGTAGTAAGTTGTTAACGGAGTGGTAACCGTAGCGTTATAGTGTAAAAGCGGCCTAAGATTTACGTCTGTAGTAAAACGGTACCAATAAAAGTTTGCCCTAGCAAGTACTGCAGTTTAGAACGAAAAGATCAGTCTGCTATAACTGTTTAGTTCTGGTTTCTTCCTCTAGTAACACCAGAATGACCAGATAAATAAAAGACGATCTTTACTGGACCTCTATAGTGGCTGTAAGGAGAACAGTTTAGAACTGATAGAGCTATAAAGTATACGTTTAGTTTTGGTTTTCTCCTGTAGTGACCCTGTAGATGATCCTTACTGGAGGAAACTTAAACTAAACTAACTTCATTTTTACTGGATAGCTCTATCAGTTCTAAACTGTTCTTCCTAGAGGTCCAGTAAGGATCATCTCTTAATGATTCAGTGTTACTACAGGAGGAAACCTAAACTAAACTAACTTTATTTATACTGGATAGCTCTATCAGTTCTATACTGTTCTTCCTAGAGGTCCAGTAAGGATCATCTCTTATTGATCCAGTGTTACTACAGGAGGAAACCTAAACTAAACTAACTTTATTTTTACTGGATATCTCTATCAGTTCTAAACTGTTCTTCCTAGAGGTCCAGTAAGGATCATCTCTTATTGATCCAGTGTTACTACAGGAGGAAACCTAATCTAAACTAACTTTATTTATACTGGATAGCTCTATCAGTTCTAAACTGTTCTTCCTAGAGGTCCAGTAAGGATCATCTCTTATTGATCCAGTGTTACTACAGGAGGAAACCTAAACTAAACTAACTCTATTTATACTGGATAGTTCTATCAGTTCTAAACTGTTCTTCCTAGAGGTTCAGTAAGGATCATCTCTTATTGATCCAGTGTTACTACAGGAGGAAACCTAAACTAAACTAACTTTATTTATACTGGATAGCTCTATCAGTTCTAAACTGTTCTTCCTAGAGGTCCAGTAAGGATCATCTCTTATTGATCCAGTGTTACTACAGAGGTCTCAATTTTTTCAAGAACTTTGCAATGATCAACAACTTTTTCATTTAGGTTCGTGATTGTCGACCATGGTGCGTCATAAGGGGATAGTGAAATTCGCTTATGTTCGCCAATTTCTGGCTGGGTGTGAAACATACTTCATTGCCCCCACAGCGTGGTATTATGTCAGGTCCCTCGGCCAGAATGAGGTATTATAGTACAACTGATATAATTTTTAGCGTGCTTTTGGGCGTTCAATATTTATACATAGTGCACAGTGCACTTTTGAATGACACATTTTTCGCATGATTCCAAGCAGCAATGACCAAACATGAGCCGATTCAAAGAGGCAGTTCTGAGTCATTGCTGTATTCAAAGAGGCAGTATTGAGTCAGGCTGGCCCGGTTAACCGAGATGAATCCGGTAATAAAGTTCTTATCACGGCTTTGATAAATGATATTTCAAAGTTGAATTAGCTTACTTTGATTCCAGTAACAATACAAAGTTCACTTAAACGATCCTTTATGGAAAAAAAGTTTCGTAACACGATTCATCCTGGCCCAGTTCACAGCCCCAAAATTGCTGGTGGAAGCCACATTTTCCCACCTTTGTGAATAATTGAGCAGCAAATAAAAATGGAAAGGCAACTAATCGGAATACTTCTTTAAAATAATAAGCTTAAAACAGAAATGACAACATTTATCAAAAATATTTAATGTTACCCCATTTGTTAGGGCTTTCTAAATTAAATGAATTCAAGGTAAATTCTAAGTTTTGAAGGATTTGTAAGAAATCGTTGAGGAAACTGACTCGTTGTATAACGCAGTTCCCTCAAACACTTCTTACAAATCCTTCAAAACACAGAATTTATCTTTGCAAAATTCCTACTGTGATCACAGAAACTTTGATAGTGTAAAAACCAGCCTCAGAATTATTAAAACTGATCTGGCACGGTTTCCAAACGGAGGGAGATAAAAAAGGAGCGCTTGGCATCTTCGTGTGAAAACAAACGTGTCAGACTATGTGCAGAAGGGTAACATTTCCGAGCGTTTCTAAAATGTCGTTTCCAATTTTGTCAGTCGGTCCACACGGAAACGTTTTCACGAGATGCAAAATTGCAAATGTTTGTCTCGATAGAAATTCCTTCTCGCCATCACCATTTATTTTCCACCAGATGAAGTCATTACTTGTCAACGAGTTTCTTAAAAGTCCTCTGCTCATTATAATAAAGTAAACAGTTTTATATGTATGTTCAGCATCACCGTTACGAAGTCTGTTGCTCCTTTGAAAGCAAAACACATTTAAATCGTTCATAAATCGTTATACAGCACACATGAAAGGCTATGCATTTTGTTTTATTCGTTTTTTAAATAATAATAATAATGGTCTTTATTCATGAATAAATAAATTACACGTTAGCCAAAGCCTATATAGATAGACAGCCAAATTTCCTGATTACCGATTACAGTTACAGTAGTAATTAGAAGAAAAGTGAATTATTATTAAATACAAAACACTGGGTACAAAATATCAAAGTGCAAAATGAAAATAAAACAACAAAGAATATCAGTTGTTGGCTGATATAGTTAATAAGCTTGAGACAAGTAGTAATCCTTCAAAATACGCTTATAATTAACAGATTTTAGCGAATTACGAAGAGTATACGGAATTGAGATCCAAATTTTTGGTCCTTGGGATCTGATTGAAAATGATAATTTATTAAATGTAAAATGAAGATTATGTTTTTGTCTAGTATTGTGATGATGCATTTCACTGTTTACAGTAAAAAGTGAAGCAATAGGTTGTGGCAAGAGGTTATTATTATGTTGAAAGATGAAGCAACTTACTTGATAACTAAATATTTCGAATATATTTAACGAGAATGCGGTAGAGGTGGTGAATGAGAGATAATACGAACAGCCCGTTTTTGATAAAGAAATAAACGGTTTAGATGAGTCTTATAAGTTGATGCCCATACAATAGTACAATATTGTAAATAGGTTGACAATAGGTTGGTAAAGTTTTTAACTTAAGAATTAATGATCCAATGAAAGATCTAAGCTTCCAGGAAACAAAAATATAATATTTTGATTTTAAGCCGCCATCTTGGATTTTTAGCGTTTCAACGTACCGTGTGCACATAGTCTCAAGATCTCAAAACAGTAAAGTCGTTTAATTAAATTTCTTTGCTTTATTTGAAATATTTTGGGTTTACATGGGTGCTAATTAGTAATTTAATTTGTAAACGAACTTGTAAGGGCGTGGTGTGAACTATTTCGCTTCCGTGTAGTGTAAACATGTACTTAGATTGAATTTTGGATGCTCACTGATAGCTCCCCTGCATCCAGTATTGCTCGTTTGCAATCTACGCCATATTGGTTGATTTTCAAAATACTCGTGGCAACTATAAAATTCATATTCTTCATTCTTTGTCGTATTGAGGCAAAGACGGTAAACTATCCATAATACAGTAACATGTTTTCAAAACAAACCAGAAAATGTTAAATGAACTCAACTACTTCGCTGTAAACGGCTTAACGAAAGTTTAAAATCAACCAAGATGGCGCCTAATGACTCGTAGTGACGCCATGCGCAAGCAAAGACTAAGGAGTTTGTATTAACAGTACAATCCAATTTTCTTTTTTAAGCTGTTCCTTGCTTTAATGTTATCTTCGTTCAACATTTCTGCTGTAATCGGTGGTCCGTTATTTGGTCGTATTGTAGACTGGATTGGACATCCACGACTTGTTTTTCTTTTCGCTTGTTGGTTGAAAGTCATCTCATACATACTCTACAGCATTAATATCTCAGCATTTTTCCCTCTGGTTGGCAGACTGGTCAGTGGATTGGGTTCTGGGGGCAGTGTTGCAGTTATTCTTGGTCAGGTGGCCATACAAACCGACGTTGAAGAGCGTGGAACAATATTTGTATTGATCGAAGCTGCATATTGCGTAGGGGCTACCGTTGGTCCCGGCGTTGGAAGCTTTATTGCATTTGATGTTACAATTTGGGGATGGCATATCAATCAAGGCAACTCCCCGGGGATTATATTAGCCATAGTGTGGAGTGTTTTCTTCATTGTGACAATATTATTACCTAAGGACATCTGGATTGAAAAAGGAACTGTTGAGAAACAAATTGTGAGTGAAGATGAAGGTAGAACTACCGATGATCGAACTTTTACCGAAAATGATCCTAAAGGTGACCGAAGATTGACCGAAATCCACCCGAAAGGCGACCGAATTTTGGCCGAATACGATCTGAATGTCGATCGTCACTTAACCAAAGATGTTGCGATCGCCGATCCCGAAGATGACCGAATCAAACCGAGTGGTCACCGAACTGTTGTCGATCTTGATGACGAAAGCAAGACGAAGATTGAATGGAACTCGCGCATTTTCTGTCTGCTTTACCTGACATTTGCAAGCGAATTTTTCTCGAGTACTGCGACATTCTATGTTCCCGTCCTGGCATTAAACCATTTTCATCTTGAACTAATCTACGTTAAACTACTCTTCCTGAACTGTACTCTATTCACTGTACTTGTTTTCATTCTATTCTCGCTCGCTTCGGACTATTTTGATGAACGCAAACTATTCCTGGTTGCTTTGTTGATGCAAATTGCCGCCATCTCAGTGCTAACATGGATTGGATTCAGCTGGGATCATATCACAAGTGCTCAAAACTACATGTTATTGCTGTACATATGTCTTGGCATGCCTTACTTCGCTTTTCCGTTCGGTAATTCCATTTTGTCGAAGATCACTGACGCGCGCAACGCGTCGTTCTATCAAGGCGTGTCCTACGCATCAATGCAATCGGGGATCCTGATCAGCCGTGTCGTTGTCAGTTTCGTGAACACAAAAGAAAGTTTGATCATTTATTGTTTTGTCTTAATGTTTCTCTGGTTGCTTGGGTTGATATGGTTTGCTGTACATTACAAACAATTTGTTGCGAGCGAAGAAAAACATCAATAGATTCTTAGGAAATTTACTGTGATTTTAGTTTTAAAGTCATTCTTCATGAAATGTTTGAATGTTTCTGAGTTACAGTTATATTTTTATCTAAAAAAACTATCAACTGAATCAGAGCTGCTGTCCATAGGATGCTTTCAGAGGCTGTTACTCATTGCGAAGATCGATTTTTAAAGTTCTGTGGCTGGAAAAGCAAAATATGTTTTCTATTTATCAGTAAGAAAAGCATGTAAGAAGGGAAAGATCGATGGTCCCTTTACTAACCATAGTCTTCGTACAACAACAGCAAGTCGTGGAATAGAGAAACGAATACCAGATAAGTTTGTAATGGAACGTACTGGTCACAGAGATGTTAGGTCGTTGCAAAAATATCAGCGGCCTAACATCTCTACTAAGATTAATATATCAAGAGCTTTTGAGAGTAATGCATGTTTAAGAAATGATTGTGATGAAGAAGATCGGCCCGAAGAGAAAATCTCAAAAGTGTTTACAGAGGGCCAAATTGTTGCCGCAATTTTTAAACATTGCAACTTCAGCATTAATAGAGATTTTACAATGTAATTTTCAGTGTGTAATTTTGTGTACGGTATATAATAAATAATGCCGTTCGTGTGGTATATTTATTTAGATAAATACCTCATTATAAATACATATATTAATGAGGTATTTATCTAGATATAAATACCCTACCAATGCATCAGCCCCGATCTTCCCTGCTGAAAATCAAAAACCCTCCTCGGACTTTTAGACCGAAGGAGTGATTACGCTAAATAAACATTGTCGAAGATCAAAGAAAACCGACATGATCATGATTTAAAAAACATTTACATACCATACTTTCTACAGTCTGTGTTACTATATATACACTATATTTACATTCCACAATATTTTGTTAAGTTATAAAAGGCAAAGATTACAATATTAAGTTTTGTATTCATATGATTATAAAACCTCGTAAATGTTGATGTAAATTGTATGATGTGAAACGTTTCTTATAAAACCTCGTAAATGTTGATGTAAATTGTATGATGTGAAACGTTTCTTTAAAAACTAGTTACGAGGTTTCACTACAGCAGTTGCGCGATGTCTTTTCTCTTTCATTCCTGGCAATTCTTTCCACTGATCATCTCTCATTGTGAAACTTTCTACTGAGTTGAGATATCCCTCCTCGTCACTGTGTCCGCCCAACGCAATAATGACGTCATGCATAATTACGGCTGAGGAACCGTACCTCTTGTGTATTAGTGAAGGTAATCTGTCACTTTGGCCAGTTTCAGTGTGGTACATGATGACGTCATCTAAATCCTGGTCATTCTTACCCACCCCGCCGACAACAATTACCATATTGCCCCAAGTAACTGTGGACATTCCTAAGACAGGCTTGGGTAACGATGGACATGGCTTAATCTCGTTTTTGATGAAATCATAGACAACAACACTATCAGTAGCATCTTTACTCTGGTTTGTCGTTCCTCCCAAGATAAATAGTTTCCCGTTAACAATCTCTGCTCTGTGGTTTCTCCTTGGCTGAGGCATTCTTGCGAGAAGCTTGACAGTATAAGGCGGGGCAAGGGATAGTTCATAAATTGCATCGGAAGGTTTGTTTTCATTCCAGTTATGTCCTCCTATGATATATAATTTATCTTGGTAAACTGTGACGTCATGACCAGATAACTTGACAGGCAGTTTACCATCAAACATCGTCCATCGCAAGGGAGGCTGGTTCATCTTTAAAATTTCGATCGAGTCAGTACCAGTTTGACTATCCGAACCTCCCGCAACGATGACGTCACCGTTGTAAACACATGATGCTGATTGTTTTCGACTGAGATGCATTCGTGGCAGCTGGGTTGACTTGCCTTCTACTATATTGTATTTTTCAACTGTATTCGATACACTTTTAACCCCTGGGCCATTAGAACCGCCAAGAATAATAATATCTTGGTTGTTGGCTTGAACACGATTGTTGTTGTTCACATTGCTTCCTTGGAATACTTGATGAACCATTATCATCATGATTATCGTCATTATCAGCTGAATTTAGAATAAAATACTTTTGTGACTAAGTTACAACACAGCCCTCGCAATTCTCAACGCTTAAGGCATAACCGCGCTACATTCGACTGAATTAAAACCATTTAAATGTTAATCATGAAATAAATAAATTAATAAAAGGACGTCATTCAGTTTTGTGTATGATTTAATGTACAATTGTTGAAGTAAACAGTTCTGATATAAAATTTGGAAAGATTTAAACGAAAACTCTCAACTAAAACGCAGCCTTTATGATGTACTATATACTGCAAAAACAATTCAGTTTTGTTAATAGATCGTAATTTCAGGCTTCAAATAATCCATTGTCATCGCCAACAATACACGAAACAATTCAATTCCATCTCCATGGAAAAAACTAAAAATAATCTTGTCTTACCTTCATTCCACTTTGCGTTCGTTCCATTCCTGTGATTTTATCTCTCATTCCTTTCAATTCCACTTTCATCTGTGCTTGAGTTTGTTCCATTTCGTCATCATTTTTCTGAATTGACACGGCCTATAAATAAATATCTTATAGTATTTCACTCCAAAGTAGATATCTACAAACAATTATACCTATCACCATGCAAATCCATAGCCAACCAAAAATTCATGTTTTACCTTCATTTCATCTTGTTTTCTTTCTATTTCTTCCGTCTGAACTCTCATTTTAGCTTGGGATTTCTGAATTACAGTATTAGTGTTAGAATATTATTTCAGAGATGACATTTTATACATGTAATGTAGTGAGTATAAATACATATCTTGTAAAACTTATTGCCAGAGTAGATCTACAAAACTACTATTTTTATCACCATAGAAACCTCCAAAGAATATTATATAACTGAACAATCTTTATTTTATACCTTTATTTCATCTTGTTTTCTTTCCATTTCTTTGATCTTGACTTTCATTTCAGCTTGGGATTCCTGAAGATTAATGTCGTGAGTATAAATAGATGTATCATGTAAAATTTCTCGTCCAAAAGTAGAAAACAGTTCTGTTATCATTGTGACAACCTACAATGGATTGAAGAAATCTTTTCATACCATTATATGATCTTGCTTTCTTTCCATCTTTAGAGCCTTAACTTTCATTTCATCTTGGCTTGCTTTAATATCTCTGTAGTCATGCCATTTGGCGATTCTAAACTGACAGAGATCACTTTCGTGCTTCTTTTTACCGCTTTTATTGACCTCCGTCCCACATCCTTCATTTCCACACATGACGGGCGCGAATTCACATCGCTCAACATGTTTCTGTAAATTTCCAAGCTGGACGTAGACCGGGCAGCCTCGCTCATTGTAATCACACTTGATTTTCAGCTCTGATAAGGTATTCTTCAAAAATCTCGGTGGATCTTTGAGGGTTTCTGGGGTCAGGTGTTCTCTGCATTCAGGACATGTGTGGGAATTACGAAGATGTTGAGATATGCAAGAAAGACAAAATGGATGTTCTTTATTCTCGCAAGTTCGTGGATTTTTGAGCACCCCTTGACAAATAGAGCAAAATAGATCTTCTCTGATTCGACCTTCAAAACGTCTCTCATCGTAACCTTCTTCGATTTCCATTCTTGAACGCCTGAAAGAAAATTAGAAAACCATTGTCAAGTTATAGATATGTATGGAACACTTGTTAATGAGGATAACAAAACTAGGTAACTGCACATGTGCATTAGTTTAAGACATATGCAGACGAGGATTTTCTATGAATATGAAATGTCTATATTACTACGAATAGAAACTATAGATCTAAAGTTCATTAAGATCGAATAAGGCAACATTTTCTTTCCATTATTTAAACACAAAACATGAAACCATAGCTTTATACGAGTGTTTACTCGAGACGTGGAATTGATCAATAAAATATTTTGCAATAATCGTTTATTTAAATTCTATTCTACAGGGTGTCCCCAAAAAACCCCCAAACTATTGAAATAACGTATTGTTAGAATTTGAATACCTTAGCACTCTCATGCTGAACTCACAAGTGCATAAAAGCTTGACGTAAGTAAATTTTATGCATATAAAGAAACTGTTTAAGAAGCTGCTTTAAATTCCCAAGAGCAGAAAATCGTGCGCTTTACAAAGATATTTTAATTTGTTAATGAGTCAATATTTATAATATACAGGGTGTATAAAAAAAAGGAGACCTTTAGAAATCAAGCATATTGTTAAAATTTGAATGCCTTTTCAATGGCACATATGCTGAACCGTGGTGCGTGAAATATTGATTGGGTGCATATATTAGAAAAAGGAGACCTTTAGAAATCAACCATGATTTGAATACTGGAGCACGTTGCTAAGCCCACAAGTGCGTAACATGCGATCTACGTACAGTATGCATGGCTATACAATTACTTTATGGTTTCCGTGTTTGGATGGCCTGATTCAAACACGCGGGAATGTTGCGAGAGTTAAGAAAAGCGAGCGAAATCACGAGCCGAAGGCGAGTGATTTTGCCCGCTTTTCTTAACTCGAGCAACATTCCCAAGTGTTTGGATCAGTCCATCCAAACACGGAAACCATAAAGTAATTGTTTTATAAAATAATAACAACACGGTAGTCTTCCGTGTTTGGATGGCCTGATCCAAACACGGCTTTCGACCAATCAGAATACGCGTTATATACATGTTATTTTATAAAGATGGTTCCCAGGAGCAGACAATCTTTTGTTTAAACGTTATTTCAATTTCAAAAGGTCTCCTTTTTCTAATATATGCACCCAATCAATATTTCACGCACTACGGTTCAGCATATGTGCAATTGAAAAGGCATTCAAATTTTAACAATATGGTTGATTTCTAAAAGTCTCCTTTTTTTTGATACACCCTGTACAGGGTGTATAAAAAAAAACTGAACCCTTTCAAATTCAAATTAGCTATAACTTTGAGTTAATGGTTGGGTAAGAACACAAGGTCTTGTACTCGCGTGGGACAAAACTCTTAAATACTTTTAAATTTTCTAATTTTTATTTCTTTGAGTTTTGTCCAATGAGTACAAGACCTTGTGTTCTTACCCAATCATTAATTTAAAGCAATTAGAGCTGTCAAATTACTACAATACGTTATAGCTAATTTGAATTTGAAAGAGTTCAGTTTTTTTTAGACACACTGTATGTGCACCCTGTCAATATTTTACGCATCTCTGCGTTCAACTTAGTGCTAATTAAGGCATTAAAAATCTACCAATACGTTATTTCAATAGTTTGGTTTTTTGGGGACACCCTGTACTGTATAATGCCAGAGTGTACTGACTATCACTCGAAGCAACTCGTTAGGGCTTACTAGAAAGACTTACAATGGAAATATTTGCGCAGGAGACCCTACTCACGCGAGACCAAGTGAACTTGGAATTGTACATCAATTGTTCACAAGCTTTCGTTGCTAGGGATACAAATACCTGAAAAATATAAGGAGAATTTCGAAGACCTTTCATCCAGTAACTCCAGACGAAGAGCCTTCGCTCGAAACGTCAAAATTCTGCTTATATTTTTCACGTAGTTGCATCTCTACCAACGAAAGCTTGTTTATATTATTGACACTACCTACACTGACACAGACACTTCAAGATTATATCACATCAATTGTTCGCCTTCATTTGTCCTACACTACAGCTGTGCTCTAATACACCTGGTTCAGTTCTTGCGTTCCCTGAATGCGCGCTAGACGAAATCGCAAACATTTGAGGGTGAGACAGGATGAATTCTGTACCATAGTCAAATTTTAACAATCTCATTTTGTGTTTACACGCGAGGTTTGAAACCAGACAATTTGATCACAGCTATATAACGGCACACGAATCCCCGCGTGAACAAATGAAACGCGACTAATTTGCGTCCAGTTGAAAACTCGTCAGCTCTCGTCGGAACGTAATGTAAAAATATGAACAAACTTACTTGAAATTTTCACAGCAACTCTGTCAGTTCAGTGAGCCAGCTCTGTCGTTCTGTAAAACAATGCCTTTCTCTCTAAATATTGACTAAACAGCTTTCTAACTTCCCGTCATGGAATTACGCAATTTTCAAAATATGTTGATATATTTCACAGGAATAACAATTCTACACATCAGTTGTTATTATTATGAATATAGAAGTTACATTTTAATCATTTTGTTGTGTATATATAGCGTGAAAAGTTCAAATATGTCATTTCTTGTGCTCAGAGCAACGTCACAAGGATTATTCTACTATGACGTGAGAAGGATTAGGATTACAATAAGGATTAGGGTTGTGGTTTTACAAAAGGTTAGGATTTGGGTTATGGTAAGGGTTATGGTTGGGTTTTCCTAAAAACATTACTGTCCTGTAGGTGTAAGTGAGTTTCATGCTGGAAAAATTTTTAACTGCAAATGATTCAACTGGAGGAAAATACCTCTGAACGACACGCAGTTTAGTATAAACTTGACTGCTGCCCTGTAACGCCTCTGACTGGACATTCAAAACGTCTGTCATAACCTTGTTCCTCGTTTTCCATTCTACACGCCATTGGTGAACGCGTGAAAGAAAATCAGAAAACAATTCTTAAATTATAGATATGGATGGAACACTTTTTATTGCGGATAACAAAACTAATTTCTCGACATCCATTCAACCTAAACAGAGACCTGCACAGAGAACTATACAACGCCACTGGAAGACGGGCCGGGGAAACTGAAAGACGTTTAGGAGACAGATTTGTCCAGCATCTTCGTGATGTCACGAACAAGATACGCCATTTCTGACATGAAAATTTAGGCTATTCATTCCATTGATATTAGCAAAAACCAGGAAAGGCATCTCATATTCAAACTTGGTACATTACTTGTCCACAATTATTCTTAATGAGCGATTCTCTTTCGTCTAGCTAAATCTGACATTCCCTTCATTTACCTCTCATTAAATAATCACCGTATAATATCATATTTTCTCGCTCCATCTTCCCTTCAATTGCAGTCCATAGAATTTTGTAATAAGTCCTATAATTTAGCCTGCGTGCAGCCAGCTATCTTTGTGTATGTATCTATATTACTGTACCCCAAATCTTATCGGTTTTGGAGCCTGGGAAGAGAGTTACTGATTAGTCAAATTTCAAGCTGTCGATGCGTTCATGCATGTTTTTAATGTATATATAAAGGCTTTTAAAAGTCTCACTGATTACTGACTTTGTTGCAGCTCATGTAAAATTTAATGCTTTGCCGTTCGTAGTAAATGTTTCTGACATGTTTATTAAGATACCGAAACCATTCTTGTCAAACAAATGCAAATATCGCAATAAGTATAAAACGTTCACACAGCAGATAATTATGCAGTACTTGAACAAAAATTCTTTAATCCTTCAAATATAATCTAACTTTGCTTGTTCATAACAATTCAGTATAAGGTTTAGGGGCTGATAACATGGAGAGTTTTGTGTGCGGTATTTTCGCTAGAGCAACCAATAGCTATGTTTTCATTTAACTATTGTGTAATGTCACGACTGAGTAATCAATGCAACACATTGCTATTAGTTACCGATCATTTTTTGCATAAAGCAAGACATGCAAAAATATAAATAATGAGACCTATTATCACCGAGTTCCCTTACCTTATTCTACTGACTATGACCTACCCTAACTTTAGGGTTAACCCTACCCTAAGGAATCACTAATTCGGAAACAGTTCTTGATTTGTGTGAGACCAAGTTGCTGTATTAATGTATATTTTGAATCTCAAACTGATACTTGAAATTTTAAGCTGGTATGCTTGGAATTCTACAGAAATGCAAATGTCTCAAGATATATCAAATTGTCACGGATGATGGCTCAAATGGTATTGTCAAGCCAAACCAGTTACCTCCTTATAAGGATGTTGATAGGCTGCCTTTTGAAATTATGCGATGTTTTGACCACAATACACATTGCGACAAATTAAGGTGTTGTCTCATGCAAACACAATATACAGTTGACGCAGTCTACATCAATTTGTTTCAAAATCTTCAAAGATTACCTATAAGTCACCATTCGTCAACTTTGGTAAGTCTCATTTTATCATCCTTGTAATATTTACCTAGCTAATAATACCTAATCACTTTGCAAACGCTAAGAACTCGCTGCCAATCTTTTTATAGGCTTGAGTACTCAACAATTAGACCAGTGAACTAGATTTCTAAATATTGACAGTTGATAATCAGTCACCATCCCTCTACTTTGATAAGTCTAATTTTACAATTCTTGTAATATTTAACTAACTCACAACTAATCGCCCGCATCATTGCAGACTGCAGAGGAGAGTGGGCAGCAAGGCTCCCTTATACGCATGAGCACCCCGCTGCATAAGTATGTAATGTAGACAGAGATTTTTGGACGACTGGGCAAGCATATTCTGTCAGAGGATGAACGCAGATTAGATTAAGTACAATGGTAGCAAACTACGTTCGTTCACGAACTGCAATGCCTGTCTGAAAAGAAAGTAAGATACAAGAAGTGGGTTAGCGACCTTCTAGAAACCATATAAAGGCTTTTATTTAAGACACCTATATAGATTACAAATTGATTAACTCAAGTATGTGGTGCCAGTCCAAGCGTTTGTCAAATTAATTTAAGGTATAAACATGGTTACATGGAAATATGGAATATGGATATAATTGTAAGGTATACACTTAATTACGAAATTGGTAAAATGCAGTAAAATAATGGAGAACAGAATTATAAATTTGACTAATTTAGCATAGCAACGGATATAAAACCCTAAGGCCTTTGTATATACTTGCGCGGTTAAGCGAAAAGAAATTCAAATGTGTCATTTGTAACAATAGCGCGCACTCAAGCGTAATTGCGTTGTTACTAAATGTTTTCCTTGCCGCACGAGCGTCTGTTGAACAATAAAGGATTTTTCCTATATGGACTTCTGCCGAACGGTAGGTATGCATTTTATATTCTGTGCGTTCGTTTAAAATAATATTTGTTTGTTTTATTTGACGTAGCTGGGACGGTGGTTATAAAGTACTATAAATTCCTTCTTCTTTGCAATAGAATATTGCAAGCTACAAAGGTACTAAGGTCGCGTTTACACTGTGACGCTTCGGCAAATTTACCGTAGCGACTAGATTTGCATCCGGAGTGCCAAACGTAGTGGTCCGTATAGTTAATACGCTACGGCAAACCACTCCATTACAATTTCCTGTTTATACGAGTCCTACATTAAAGAGCTGGCCTACCTTGGCGAGATCCCGCTTGCTAATACATTTCCCTGTAAAAAATTGTCTTCGTTTATACGAGAGGAGGGCCAGCCGTACTAGAGGCGAGATCTCGCTATTGACGAGGCGAGATCTCGCCTAGTAGGGCTGGAAATTTCGCATATAAACGCAGCAGGGAAGGCTGCCCCCTCCCCCCCCCCTCCTTGTTGGGCTGAGTGAAAAAGCCATCGAATCAATTTCAAACTAAACTTTTTAAAGATTTTTTCGCTTTTAATATGTAGTTCTAAACGAATATTCAAATGTCTGTTGGTTTTTATTCCAAAATTTAGTCGGCAAACTATGATTGTGTGGACGCCATAATAAAAATAATGAGTTACACGGAAGCCATTATTAAGTGCAACTTGCGAAAGGAAGCCAGCCCTAGCAGTAGCCAGTAGGGCTGACTTTTCTCATGTAAACACATGGTGAAAATCAGGAGAGGTCCAGTAAGGCTGACTCTTATTGATCATTTGATCTAGTGTTACTACAGGGGTCTAAATTTTTTCAGGAACTTTGTAATGATCAACAGGTTTTTCATTTAGGTTCGTGACTATCGATCGACCATGGTGCGTCATAAAGGGATAGTGAAATTCGGTTATGTTCGCGAATTTATAGCTGGGTGTGAAAATTACTTCATTGCCCCAACAGCGTGGTATTACGTCAGGTCTCTCGGCCAGAACGAGGTATTACAATACAACTGATACAACTTTTGACATGACTTTGCACATTCAACGTTTAGTTCACATACCAGGGTTTTAGCTTTTGAATGACACATTTTTTCGCATGATTCCAAGCAGCAATGACCAAACAGCAGCCGATTCAAAGAGGCAGTTCATATTGAGTCAGGCTGACCAGGTTAACCAGGATGTTTTGTTTAATAAAGTTCCAATCACGGCTTTGATAAACATTCAAAATGACATTTCAAAGTTGAAATAGCTTACTTTGATTCCAGTAACAATATAAAGTTTATTTAAACGATCTTTCATGGAAAAAATGTCGTAAGGTTAGCCGGCCTGGCCCAGTTCACATTTTCCTCTTTTTACCACAATTTCGCAACCAAACTTTGCAATTTTACTTATCCTAAGATGCTCTTTCTAAGTATGGTAATGGATTTCACTCCTCTTGTCTAGATCAAAATTTCGTTTATACGTAGCTGTAATCACCCATTTGTAACAAACCGTGTAACGGCGTAGTTTGACGTAAATTCTTCCTGACCTATTTCGCTACTGTGTAGTATGAACATAGTCTTAGATTGAGTTTTAGATGCTCAGTACTAGCTGGAGACATCTAGTATTATATAGGAGTTTGTATTAACAGTACAATCCAATTATCTTTTTAAGCTGTTCCTTGCTTTGATGTTATCTGCATTCAACGTCTCTGGAATGATCGGCGGTCCGTTATTTGGTCGTATTGTAGACTGGGTTGGACATCCACGCCTTGTTTTCATTTTCACTTGTTGCTTGAAAGTCGTCTCATACATACTCTACAGCATTAACATCTCAGCATTTTTCCCTCTGGTTGGCAGACTGGTCAGTGGACTGGGTACGGGTGGCGGTGTTGCAATTATTCTTGGTCAGGTGGCCATACAAACCGACGTTGAAGAGCGTGGAGCAATGTTTGTATTGCTCGAAGGGGTATATTGCCTAGGGGCTACCTTTGGTCCTCTCGTGGGAGGCTTTATCGCATTTGATATTACAATTTGGGGATGGCATATCAATCAAGGCAACTCCCCTGGGATTATATTAGCCATAGTATGGAGTATTTTCTTGATTGTGACAATATTATTACCTAAGGACATCTGGATTGAAATTGGAACTGTTCAGAAAGAAATCGTGAGCGAAGATGAAGAAAGAATTACCGATGATCGAACTTTCACCGAAGATGATCCTAAAGGTGACCGAAGGTTGACCGAATTCCCCCCGAAAGCTCGCCGAATTTTGGCCGAGTACGATCTGAATGTCGATCGTCACTTGACCAAAGATGATGCGATTGCTGATCCCGAAGATAACCGAATCAAACCGAGTGGTCACCGAACCGTTGCCGATCATGATGACGAAAGCCAAACGAAGATTGAATGGAACTCGCGTATTTTATGTTTGCTTTACTTGACAATTGCAAGTGAAGTTTTCGCCAGTACTGCGACATTCAATGTCCCCGTTCTGGCATTGAACCATTTTCATCTTGAACTAATCCACGTTAAATTACTCTTCCTGAACTGCACTCTATTCACTTTGCTTCTTTTCATTCTATACTCGCTCGCCTCCGACTATTTTGATGAACGCAAACTATTCCTGCTTGCTTTGTGGATGCAAATTACCGCCATCTTGGTACTAACATGGATTGGATTCAGCTGGGATCACATCACAAGTGCTCAAAACTACATGTTATTGCTGTATATATGTCTTGGTATGCCTTACTTCGCTTATCCGTTCAGTAATTCCATTCTCTCGAAGATCACTGACGCGCGCAACGCGTCGTTCTATCAAGGCGTGTCTTACGCAGCATTGCAATCGGGTAGCCTGATCAGCCGTGTCGTTGTCAGTTTCGTGAACACAAAAGAACGTTTGATCATTCATTGTTTTGTCTTAATGTTTCTCTGGTTGCTTGGGTTGATATGGTTTGCTGTACATTACAAGCAATTTGTTGCGAGCGAAGAGAAAAATCGATAGATTCTTAGGAAATTGACTGTGATCATTCCTTCATGAAATGTTTGAATGTTTCTGATTTACAGTTATATTTTTGTTTCCAAAAAAAACTATCAACTGAAACAGAGCTGCTGCACATAGGGTGCTTTCCGAGGCTATTACTCATTGCGAAGATCGACTTTTTAAAAAAATAACTATTTCAATTTTCTGATGGAGAAGGTTGTAGGGGGGGGGGGGGTATCTCCCCCTATAAAAAGTGGGTGTAGGTCCCCCAGGATTGACTCCTTTGCTAATGATTGTAGAAAGATTTCACTGAGGAAGTGCACATGATGGTCGACCAACAGTAATTAAAGGCACAGTTCAGCCTTTTGAATGATGGTTTTTAAGGGGCGTTTCAGGCCTTTTAATTGAAAAAACTAACTAGGAAAATTAATTAAGCATAATTCAAGATCAGTAAACTTAATGTTTTTAACATTTTAAAACATTTTTATTGTTAAAAACATTGAGTTTACTGATCTTGAATAATGCTTAATTGATTTTCCTAGTTAGTTTTTTCAATTAAAAGGGCTTTAATGCGCTTTAAAAACCATCACTCAAAAGGCTGAACTGTGCCTTTAAAGTGATGAAATAATATGTAGAATTATTTTGATAATATGTCGTAGTTTAGTATTTACTGTCAGAGATACAACGACGTGAAAAATAGAAGTAGAACTTGGACGTTTCGAACCAAACTAACTTCACAACGAAGAATCTAAACATCGAAATTCTGCTTGTATTTGTCAGCTAGTTGTATCCCTCTCTATCCCCAGCTATCCTGCATCTTATAACACTCACCACAGCCCAACAATAGAATCAAAATATGAAGAAACAACTCAATAGAATAACAATATGAATTATCCTGCATCTTATAACACTCACCACAGCCCAACAATAGAATCAAAATATGAAGAAACAACTCAACAGAATAGCAATATGAATTATCCTGCATCTTATAACACTCACCACAGCCCAACAATAGAATCAAAATATGAAGAAACAACTCAACAGAATAGCAATATGAATTATCGTGAATTAGATTTTTTTGATAGTATACATAACGTTTTCATAACTATACATAATGAAAATCAGAATATTTCTAAAAAATAGTTTAAAATAACTTCTAAACAATTATATCTAATCCAAACTATATTAACATTATTATTAACATAACATGCAAATTGTCAAGTTCAATAGTTCGTCATATAACAATCACAGTTCTTATTTTGGAAGTTCATTTATGAATTTTCATAGATTGGTTTTAATATCGGTACCAATGCTGCGGCTTTTTAAACAGCTAATTATTAGCGAGGATAGAAATGAATTGAATGACACTAAGATAATTAAAATTTGTCCAGTAGAACGAATGTTATGGTGTTTAAAGTAAGTGGTAAACCTATTAATACAAGTCATGCATGATTTAAATGGTCCATTGCGTGATCCAGACTTTATTTTAAAACAGCCAACATATTATTGACTCCACGAGACCAGTTTTAATAATCTTAGGATCAAAATTCATCTCTTAGATTCAATGTTCCATGTCTACTCGGAATTTGACTAAACACTATCGTGCAACAGATGATGGTCAACCTGCAGTTATCAGAGTGAGAAAATAATTTGAGTTGTTTTCATTGAATGAAACTGTGTTTTTGAGGCGAATAAATAGAATTAAGAGACGTAGTTTGTGAAGTTGACGAGCATCTACTGCACTGTAACACTTACTCACTGATAGTCTTCTGTCAATGTCTCCATCACTGTTCGTATGAGATTTTGAAAATTATATTGACGCTATGCAAATCTACATACAAGTTATCTTGAGTTTTATTAAACATTTACATACCATATTTCCTACAGTCTATGTTACTATATATACACTATATTTACATTCCACAATATTTTGTTAAGTTATAAAAGGCAAAGATTACAATAGTTATCTGTTCATATGATTATAAAACCTTGAAACTGTTGTTGTAAAATGTATGTTGTAAAGCATATCTTTAAAAACTAGTTGCGAGGTTTCACTACAGCTGTTGTATGGAGTCTTTTCTCTTTCATTCCTGGCAGTTCTTTCCACTGATCATCTCCCATTGTGAAACTTTCTACTGAGTTGAGATATCCCTCCTCGTTATTCCATCCTTCCAATACAACAATGACGTCATGCATGATGACAACTGAAGGACCATACCTGTTGTGTTTAAGTGAAGGTAATCTTTCACTTCGCCCAGTTTCAATGTGATACATGATGACGCCATTTAAATCCTGATCATTCTTATCCACCCCGCCGACAACAATGATCGTATTGCCCCAAGTAACTGTGGACATAAGCCAGACAGGCTCGGGTAACGATGGACATAGCTTAATCTCGTTCTTGATGAAATCATACACAACAACACTATCAGTAGCATCTGCACTCTGACCTGTTGTCGATCCTCCCAAGATAAATAGCTTTCCGTTAACAATCTCCGCTCTGTGGTTTTTCATTGGCTGAGGCATTCGTGCGAGAAGCTTGACAGTATAAGGCGGTGCAAGGGATAGTTCATAAATTGCATCGGATTGTTTCTTTTCATTCCAGTTATGTCCTCCTATGATGTATAATTTATCTTGGTAAACTGCGACGTCATGACCAGATAACTTGACGGGCAGTTTACCATCAAACATCGTCCATCGCAAGGGATGCTGGTTCATCTTTAAAATCTCGATCAAGTCAGTACCAGTTTCACCATCCCAACCTCCGGCAACGATGACGTCACCGTTGTAAACACATGATGCTGATGCTGCTCGAGGGAGATTCATTGGCGGTAGTTGAGTTGACTTGCCTTCTACTATGCTGTATTTTTCAACTGTTTTCGATACACTTTCAAATCCCGGGGCATAATAACCGCCAAGGATAATAATATCTTGGTTGCTGTCTGGGACTGCTGGATCTATAGCTTGAGCGCCATTGTTGTTTACATTGCTTCCTTGCAATACTTGCTGAACCATTATCATCATTTTTTCAAACTGCTGTCTTATCTCGTCAACACTTTGCTGAATTGAAAATAAAATATGTTGGTGACTAGGTCACAGTGCAGCCATCGTTATTCTCAACGCCTAAGGCATAACCGCAGCTGATAAATAATATTTTACTGGAAATTGAACTGATTTTCGACGGCAATTTTAAGCGTTTTTCGTACGTACGTATGCGCATGGAAATGTTTTTAAAACCATTTAAATGTTATTCATGAAATAAGTAGCCTAAATGAATAAAAGGACATCATTCGGTTTTATTTATGATTTAATGTACATTTGATGAAGTAAACAGTTCTGATATAAAATTTAGAAAGATTTAAATTTTTCCGTGTGTATATGCGCCGACGTATTAAAATCTCTCAACTGAAACACCCTTTATGATGTATTATACCGTGGGTGGCCCCAAAAAAGTTCTCCTGTTTTATTTAGTTTAACTTAAAAACTAAAAGAACTATTAGCATTACACTTAAGCAAGGTGCATTGCATTCAGTAATGTCTAACTTAAATTTTCACATACGCCGTGTGCAGGGGCGCAACATTTAATAAATTTTAAGGGGTTTGGACGGATCCGGGACCGACTTTTGATTCGGGAAAGATCCGGGACCGACTTTTGATTCGGGAAAGATCCGGGACCGACTTTTGATTCGGGAAAGATCCGGGACCGACTGTTCTTCATAAATCATAACGAAGACATTGACAAGGATTGATTCGACAATCCCTTACGCATAATGACCAAATATCTACATTTCCTGATGAATAAATAGTTGTCTCTGAAAAACGAACGTGTACTTTCTGACTGTAGTGCGTCCAAACACAGGTTATTATAATTGCCGGATTTATATTTAATAAGCCGTTCTTGGCTAATTTTCAACAGTTCAAAGAATTTAAAGTTTGTTCGTTCACTGCATATCAATCATATTTCACTCGCTACTCTGGTTTAAATAAATGATTACAAAGCCCAGTCGAATTGTAATCAAGACCCAACGTTTCGACACTCCAGTCTAGTGTCTTCATCAGGAGTGATCTAAAGATGCGATTACAATTCGACTGGGCTTTGTAATCATTTATTTAAACCAGAGTAGCGAGCGAAACATGACTTCAAAAAATGTTTACTCAAGTTTAAACTGAGCTATCTCGGTGAATATTGCATGAAAATGCACACGGCGTATATAAAAATTTAAGTTCGACATTACTGAATGTAATGCACCTTGTTTAAGTGTAATAGCTCTTTCAGGTTTTAAGTTGTACAAATCAAACAGGAGAACGTTTTTGCGCCACCCGGTAAACTACAAAAACAATTCAGTTTTCTTAATAGTAAATATATCATAATTTAGTTTCAAATGATCAAATGTCATCGCCAACAATACACAAACAATTCAATTCATCTCCATGCAAAGAACTAAGAATTGTCTTGTCTTACCTTCATTCGATCTTGCGTTCGTTCCATTCCTGTGATTTTATCTTTCATTTCGTTCAATTCCACCTTCATCTCGTCCTGTGTAAATTAAATGACTTTAACCTTTGATTTTATCTTTTATTCCGTTGAATTCTAATTTCACCTGTGCTTGAGTGTGTTTGATCTCGTTAACATTTTTCTGAGACACAGCACTAGTATTGATATATGATAATGTATATACTTCCTAAAGCAGATTTACTGACTGGAATTTCACTTGTTACCATGAAAACGACCAATTAAAGAAAATTAAACAATCTTGTCTTACCTTCATTTGATTTACTTTGACATTTATAACATCTTGAGTTTGCTTAATAGCGTCATCATTTTCCTAAATTAAATTAAAGTAGAATGTGGCCTTAGGCATGTTCCGATTGTGCTCGGCAATTTTTGAGCAACCTTTTGCGTTTGGAGCAACTTTTTTCGGTCCGAGCAACTTCAAGCAACTTTTTCCTTTTTGAGCAACTTTTTACTAGAGTTCAAACTTTACAGTATGAAATGTTTACATGCGATAGACAACTTCATTTTCTTGCTTCTCACAAGCAAAGACCCTTGGTACGAGGTTGCTTCATTTTCTGTTATATTTTTCTGATAAATAATTTGGAAAATCAATTAAATATGGCAATATGCTGTAATGCTGCTTGTTTGCCAATGATATTTACTTGCTAGGGTTAATATCTGTGTTCTCTTGAAGACAAAATGGCGGCTTATAAATGCCAATTTGTAAATTATGACCGAACTAGAAGTGCTGTCAGACTTAGCAGTTTTATCATCAAAAGGCACTGATAAAGGCGCAATATGTATGATAATATTTATTGTAGTTGTTGTATTCGTATATTATCACTTTTATTTTATATAAACGTTGTATATGACATGAGACACGGAGTTATCGGACTCCAGACCAGAAAGAATTAATATCACAACGCAGTGATATGAAAAACATAAAACTTGTGACGTAACTGTGTAATTCAATCAGAAGATTTACTCTAAGTAATCTCACATATTATTCAGCAAAATGTCAATTTTGTATGACTTTTATCATTTGTTAAATTTGTGTAAAAGAAACGTTTTCTGTTTATAATTCCAAACATTTTACCCGGGCCTATACGGAAATTGTATAAAGGATTAAAGCTGTTAATTAACGTTAATGGAACAATTGCTCTCCTGCCAGCTAACTGAGCTAAGAATTAAGAATAGACACATACAGCTTTTGTGTGGGAGAATGGGTTATGGGGGTGAAGTACTCCTGTTACAATAAGTGTCACATTATATGTATATTTAACCCAATAGACTCTTTATGGCCTTATATTTCATCCTGCGGGGTATATATAAGGCCCGCTCTGATACCCTAGGGGTAATGGTCCCTAGGGCTGCCCTGAGGGTAAGGGTCCCCAGAGCACTTGCCAGAAGGGTAGCGACCCCCTCTGACCTTATTAACCTGAACCAAGGGGTAAGGGTCCCTTGGACAGTTCCTATAACTCGGCCGATTATATTTACATTGAATGAGTCTATGGGCATGAAGGTGACCTTTGGGAGCACTTCAACCCCACAAATACAATAAAGTGTAATTAACGTATGTCGTGAAAACGGTGGCCCACGTGTGATCGACTGATCGTTTATTGTATTTTTATTTGTGAACGTGTGGGGCTTCTGAAAGGTTTGAACTCCCTTTCCCCACATGACGACGACGAAACTTTATCTACACTTGTACACTATCTGCCCCAGAAAATTATCAAGATTTATGCGATAACGTAATTTCAGTAAGACACTTTACTGCTAAAGAAAAGTACAAGGCAATGGTTAACACTATACCACAAGTTTAATTTATAAGTAAATCTTACTTTCGGTGACATTGACCCTCCCTCAAAATATATGAATAGTAATGGCTCTCACTCAAAATATATGAATAGTAATGGTTCCCCCTTAAAATATATGACTACCAGAAGAAAAATTGCCTACTTCTTTTGGGAAACCTCTTACTCTATATTTTTTGGAAACCCTGTAATTAACGCAGAAAGTGTAAGTGGACACCCTGGCATGAGAAAAAAGAAGATCTACAAAACAACAATATTAATTGCCAAGCAAAGCCAAAAAGGACAAAAACAATCCTGTCTCACCTCCATTTGATCGTGTTTCCTTTTGTTTAATTGTCGATTTATAGATACTTGGTATTCCTCTTGAGCGTTCATAATTTCATTAAGTTGTTGCTTCATAACATCTTGATTTTCTTTCATTTCATCTTGATTTCCTTTCATTTCATCTTGATTTTTTTTTATATCATCTTGATTTTCTTTCATTTCATCTTGATTTCCTTTCATTTCGTCTTGATTTCCCTTCATTTCACCCTGTCTTGCTTTCACTTGACAAAGTTCTGCTTTCATATCATCTTGAGTTGCTTTGATATTTCCACAATCCTGACATTTGGCGCCTCCAAGCTGGCAGAAACTTTTGTCGTGGTTGTCTTTATCTTTTCTGTTTGTCTGCATGTCGCATTTTTCACACTTGACCGGAGCAAATCCACAATTGCCAACATGGTGTTGTAGATTTCCAAGCTGGATGTGATCTGGACAGCCTCGGTCAATGTAATCACACTTAATTTTCAGTTCTGACAAGCAGATCATGAAAAACCGTCCGGGATGTTTCAAGGTTTCTGGAGTCAGATTTTCTCTGCATGCTGGGCATTCTTGAGTTTGAGGGTTTAGAAGATAACGTGTAATACAAGCTAAACAATATAAGTGTTCTTGATGCTGGCAACATCGTGGATCGTTTACCACATCACGACAAATAATGCAAAATAATTCTCGTCTAACTGGACCAATGAAGCGACTTTCATCATAACCTTGCGCATCCATTACCAATGTTGAATGTATCTGAAAGGTGTTGGAAAACCTTGTTAAAAATAACCTATGCATTTACGGGAAAAATTTATACTGCTCTTTGCTCCACCTGTTGAGTTATCAAGTCTAAATAGATTGGTGATGAATTCTTATCCTTTAGAAGTACACGAGATTTCAACTGTTAATCTTCAGGAATTTAGGTCCACTGTTCTTCCAGTAAACATACTAGTTAATATGATACTGTATTTCTGTGTTGGCTAATCTGTGATAGCTTGGCATCTCAAACATGTAAACAAGCAAGCGCAGGCTAGGATTTTCTATGAATATGAAAAGTCTACATTACTACGAATACCAAAATATAGATTTAATGTTCATTAAGATCGAATAAGGCAACATTTCCTTTCCTTTGTATATAGCTGTATATTTGCTGTGCTGAGTGGTTATATTACTACCTGAAATAAACAAGCAGAAACTCGACGTTTCGAGCGAAGACCCTTCGTCCAGAGTTAGTAGGGCCTTCGCTCGAAACATCGAGTTTCTGCTTGTTTATTTCAAGTAGTAATATAACCACTCAGCACAGCAATTTTACATTGGTTCTACCCACACTGGTACAGACAGTTTTAGTACATATAGCTGTATATAAGTGTTTTATACTCGAGACGCGGAATTGGTCAATAGAATATTTTGCAATATTAAATCGTAGGCTATATTTAAATTCTAATCTATAATGCCAGAGTGTAGGGTTTGGTAAGAACTTACAATGGAAATATTTGCGCTGTTGCGCAGGAGACCCTGATCACGCGAGACCAAGTGAATTTGGAATTGTACATCAATTGTTCACAAGCTTTCGTTGCTAGGAATGCAACTACGTGAAAAATATAAGGAGAATTTCGACGTTTCAAGCGAAGACCCTTCATCCAGTAACTCCAGAGGAAGGGCCTTCGCTCGAAACGTCGAAATTCTCCTCATATTTTTCAGATAGTTGCATCCCTATAGCAACGAAAGCTTGTTCACACTACCTACACTGACACAGACTTATTGACACTACCTACACCACAGGAGGCCCAGGCTCGATTTGCCCGCGCCCGCCTGTGCCTTCCTTATAACGAGGGAAGGACGGAGACATTGAGACCAAAATAGCCCAGACTTGGCATATGTTACACGAAACTATCCTCGATTTTTCGCTTTTAATGCATTTCTTTCACGATTAATCGATATCCTCTGCAAGAATGATACCGTATAACTCTCAAAACAACGATGCTTTAATCAAAGAGCTTAAATTCGCTCTGAAATCCGTGAGGGAATAACAAAATTCGGCCAAAATATATCCCGTGCCCGGTTTGCTGTGCAAAAAGCGGAAGTCGTTGAACAACTCAAAAACACTCAACCCTGATTGGACAACGAATTTCAACAAACATTTCAAAATTTTTTAACAGTACTGTTATAATTTCAATCATACAATCAAAACTATTCACAAACGTTATAAAGTGTAAATATTACTGCAAGTATATAAAACTGTAGTACGTTAATATGTATAATAAATTGTATTTCACATTGTGTTTGTTAAAAAAAATTGAAATGTTTGTTGAAATTCGTTGTCCAATCAGGGTTGAGTGTTTTTGAGTTGTTCAACGACTTCCGCTTTTTGCACAGCAAACCGGGCACGCGGATATATTTTGGCCGAATTTTGTTATTCCCTCACGGATTTCAGAGCGAATTTAAGCTCTTTGATTAAAGGAGCGTTGTTTTGAGAGTTATACGGTATCATTCTTGCAGGGGATATAGATTAATCGTGAAAGAAATGCATTAAAAGCGAAAAATCGAGGATAGTTTCGTGTGACATATGCCAAGTCTGGGCTATTTTGGTCTCAATGTCTCCTTCCTTCCCACGTTATAAGGAAGGCACAGGCGGGCGCGGGCAAATCGAGCCTGGGCCTCCTGTGATTAATGCATTAAAAAACAGACTCACTTTGAAATGTATTAAAAACAGACTATCACTTTGAAACGAACATTCAAATAACTATTTTTATCAACATACCTTCAAAAATATAATGCTTTTCCTCCAAAATCAAATAGTAATATTGTAAAATAAGCCTCATGCAATGGAAAAATATGCGGCAGGTATTTTCCGCGGGTGGCGAATAGCGGGTGATGGGTAGCGGGTGACGGGTAGCATGTGCGTAGCAGGTGGCGGTAGTTCTCGTAATTCACATGTTGAACACATAGAATAATTTATGCAACCTCGTTCCCAGGGCTTTCGCATGAGGGCGAGGCAGAGAGACGAGAAAGCCCTGGTCTGGGCCGGTCAATTTTGCATTCTGATTGGCTAACACCATATTGCCTAAAAATAGCTGAACTTGACAGTTGACAATAACAATTTCAACATATGTATTTTTATGATTCTTGTGTGTACGAGTGTATTTTGCAAATTAATCTTTCAAAGTATGAAGTTTTGACTTTTAGACTGCATGATTTAGCTACTTTCGGCTCGGCTGGTTACAAAACTCAAAAGCTATGTATGTTGACGTGAGCTGCAATGTTTCCTAGAAAAACAAGAAACGTCTACTTTATAGTCGGTAGACTACTGCGTAGTTTTCCTTGTACAGTATTTATAATGTAGTGCAGATGTCTGATGAAATACTACGCGTATTGCATTGTAGTAATATTTTAATTTACAATATTCTATACTGATTGTAGTAATATTTTAATTTACAATATTCTATACTATTAATGATTAAATGTTTACTTAATAGCTCTATGCCTTGGCCGATGTAGTCTCTACAAGCCCGTCACCGAGTTTTACAGTTTCAGAATACCCCGAATACTTGAAAATTGCGACTATATGATAAAATAAAACAAAGACTGTGAAAGGGATAAAATTTGTTTGCAAGCATAATGGTGTCCAGCGATCGAAGCGAACTGTATATTCCTGTACATGCAGCGTAAACAGGTAATAAATACTCGAGGTTTTATATTTGTGTTTATTTATATCGAACTAAGTCAAACCTAAGAGCATAATTATTTAAACAAAATATTAAAGGCAATTAAAGGCAGAAACCCAATTTTGTGTGAATCACCACTTGGAGACGCCTAGATGCAGCTTGGAAATCATGTTCAGATACAGTTGTGCCTTTGGCTTTGCCTGTCACTGTGATTGAAAATCTCCAGAAATATCGGTATTTGTGCCAAACTTCGCTACACTGTTTATTTGTTTCGAAGACTTGTATATAATTTCCAGTTAAGAATAATATATCCATATTTTGGTAGACACATGACCGGCCCAGACCAGGGCTTTCTCGTCTCTCCGCCTCGCCCTCATACGAAAGCCCTGGGAACGAGGTTGCGTAAATTATTCTATACGTTCAACATATGAATTATGAGAACCACCACCACCCGCTACCCGTCACCCACTACCCGTCACCCGCGGAAAATACCTGCGGAAAATACCTGCCGAAAAACATGCGAAATGCCATATGGTCAAAATTAAATGTCATAGCTCCTATGAAGCTACGGCGCACCGAACACAGCTTTCGGAAGTGATCGGATTATCATCGTAAACTTCCATCGTATATAAATTTGTACCCCCCGAATGACCGACAAACAAATTGAGATTTGCTTTGGCTAAAATACATAAGTCGCGCGGGGATCTAGCCTACGGTGTAGACCCCAGCAGAAACACGTTTCGTGAGGGGTCTACGAATAAACGAAGAAAAGCTTGCCCGGCTACGTCATATCCGTTTTGCGTTTTGGGTAAATTAACTTCAATTTATTCAAATTTATGATGTGTGCGCGCTTTATATTAAAATGTTTCATGGTGGGCTTTGTGCAATAGAAATGTGGTCTTTGCTTCAACGTCCCGTCGAATGAAAGCGATATTAATTTCTTGGTTATATAGACGACCTTTCCTTCTCCATTTTACCTGCAAATAGCATTTGTAAAGCCTGTTTGGCGTTGGTAAACAAACGGAGAAGCTTCAAAGAACGGTTATGTGAACTAGACAATACAATAACGAACGTGCACGAAACAGCATTAAACGCTATTGGTATACCGCTTAAAGTAAAGCGAAATGTCGTGAGGTAACTGGGATTCGAGCCGACTTGCGATAAAACGTTTATGCCCGCTACATTTAGCGTGAAATCAACGTTGTCTTCGACTGCAGAAATTGTATGTCTTGACAAGCTTCAACAGTCTAACAGGTTTGTACGAATGACAAGAATTTTTTGAAGTAAACATGCACTTACAACAAATCATGTTAAAATATACCCTGACTATATGCATACCCAACTATTAAACACATGTCCGAACGGACTAAAAAGTCCTTGTCATTCATACAAACCTGTTAGGCTGTTGAAGCTTGTCAAGGCATCCAATTTCTGCAGTCAAAAACAATGTCGATTTCACGCTAAATGTAGCCGGCGTAAAAGTTTTATCGCAAGGTCGGCTCGAATCCCAGTTTCCTCACGAAATTTCGCTTTACTTTAAGCGGTATACCAATAGCGTTTAACGCTGTTTTGTGCGCGTTGGTTATCGTATTGTTTAGTTCAGATAACCGTTCTTTGAAGCTTCTCCGTTTGTTTACTAACGCCAGACAGGCTTTACAAATGCTATTTGCAGGTACAGTGAAATGGAGAAGGAAAGACAGGAAAGGTCGTCTAACTCCTTACGTATGTTCTCCTTGCTGTCCAAGAAATTAATATCGCTTTTATTCGATGGGACTTTGAAGCAAAGAACGCATTTGTATTGCGCAAAGCCCACCATGGTCCATGAAACATTTTAATATAAAGCGCGCACACGTCATAAATTTGAACAAATTGAAGTTAATTTACCCAAAAGGCAAAACGGATATGACGTACGCCGGGCAAGCTTTTCTTCGTTTATTCGTAGACCCCTCACGAAACGTGTTTCTGCTGGGGTCTACACCGTAGGCTAGCGGGGATCTGGAATGAGTAAAAACTGTCAATGTCGTTAAATAAAGCCTGATTTAATTAATAAGAAATGTCTGTGTGTACTAGCCTATACATAGTCATACATATTTAATAAATAAATGCACCAATGGCTATGAATGTTTTGCTCCACGGTTAAGAGAATTTAACTTCAAATACATTTCATTCAGGCCTTAAAATATCGGTCGGTCACAGACATTGTCCGACCCATTCGTGAAATTGTCCGACGTAGAAAGGAAACCACCGGACATTCTGTCCGACCAAAGTGAAACTGAGGTTTATTGTTTGTCCGACCCGAGTGTAGTGGTGTCCGCCCGAACTGTAGCTTTGTCCAACGTAAATCAAAATGTACCCTAGCCCAGGACTAGAGGCTTGTATGTTAAATGGAAAATCAGATTATTGTATGAAAGGTGAACTGGAAATGTTGTTTTAGCGTAGTCGAGCGCAGGGCGGCGAGCGAAATGGTGAAGTGGAAAACAGGCTTAAGTTGTCGAAGTCTTTTTTATAATACTCTGTTCTGGAAAGCAAGTTAATTTTGCAGAATAAACTAAACGCAGAATGTTGTGTATACACCTTTTAATAGTGTACGAAAACATATATGTATATATAAATTCGGGCTGTAAATTGGGCTTAATTAGTAGAAAAGAAAAAATCGAGCAAATTGACATACCTCTAAACGATCTCCCTTTCTCACAAAACTTGAATAGAAGGCCAGTTTTATGCAAAGTATGTCTTCGCTTCGCTCCTGACCTCGTGTTAAAAATTAAAATGATACAAAGCTTGCTCATCGAAATATTTTTAAACGCCATACTTGGTACGTCGTTCGCAGTCGCTGAACAAAGTATTCGGCAATCAATCGATTTGCTATTGTGAACTCCTGAGGTATGATATAAATGCTCCAATGTAAATTCCCACTGAGCTATTAAAGGAATACCGAATGGTTTTCCGTGCAGGATTGCGTGTCCATGCACGCGGGATGTTGCGAGACTTTCGGAAAGGGTAAAAATACACGAGCCCTAGGCTCGTGTATTTTTACGCCTTCCGAAAGTCGAGCAACATCCCAAGTGCATGGATCATGCTATCCTGCATGGGAAAACCATTTGGTAATTGTTTTATAAAATTACTACAGTGAAACGACGCATAAGAATGCAGGGACGTTAAATTGCTTCAGGAATAGAATACGAAAATATTTACTTCAATGTTAAGCCATATAACTGCGTTCACTAGCTGTCGCAATTGTTTTAACAAAATACTTTTGATATATATACTTTGAAAAGCTTCAAGGAGATATCCAATTTATAAGCCTTATGGTTTCTGGTTTCCTTGCCACTAATATAACCACTGTAAATATAACAACATAAATTACCATTATATAAACAGTAACAGTATATTAGAAATCTGAAATATTGTAAATGGTATTGGTGGCTAATAAATCTTTATCTTATCTTATCTTATCTTATAACGTGATTAAAATTACTGATGAAATGTGTAGTTCTCACAACATTCGTGAATTAACCAATCAGAGAAACGCTACTCCACGCTATTGAAAACAACAACATATGTGAACAGAATTTGATCGCAAATTCGGGAAAATATACAGCGAAAATACAGGGACTTTTTCGATAAGATATACGAAATTTGAAATGGAAAACCCGCTAAACAGAGAGCCAAAGTAATTTTGAAGATTCTCCAGCTGAATATGTGAAGATTGCGAAGCGTTTGATCAACTTTCACTTTGAAGCGAGAGATGTTGTACTTACATGCCATGGTCTGATGAATTTCAACGCTATACGCGTTGCTACTTGCTGAATAGCAATGTATCGATCAGAAATTTATTCATACAACTAAACCAACGTCTCAATAATTGGAAACTTACTTCAAAGACGAAAGGTATCGTACAATGAAACTTTACAATGCGAGTATATTTGTAAAATTATGTGCAAGAATTTCTGTTCAGAATTTCCCGTGCAGGATTGTCTGATCCTGCACGGCTGTTGACCAATCAAATTGCGTGTTTCACTGTAGTTATTATATAAACTATATTACTCTATGCTCGGCATCATGGCATCGGCATCAACCACTGAGCTATACTATATTACTGGTGGAGGTGCTCCTATCTTCCCGCCAGTCCAGAGGAGGAGTGGTCACTATACCGTGATGCATTGCGATTATTCCAATTAATTATATATTATTGATTTTCCACGAGCGGGCGGTTATTGTTCTCTTGACCTTCGCTGTCAAAACAAACAGGAGTGAGAAATATGGCGGATTTTGTAAAGCCGATTCACCGCCATAAAGCGGCATGTAGTAAAACACAGACTACCGGAACACCGGAACACCACCGGAACACCGGAACACCGGAACACCACCATTTTGTTTGGGGTTAGGGTTAGGATTAGGGTTTGGGGTTGGGGGTTGGGGTTAGGGTTAGGTGGTGTTCCGGTGGTGTTCCGGTGGTGTTCCGGTGGTGTTCCGGTGGTGTTCCGGTGGTGTTCCGGTGGTGTTCCGGTGGTGTTCCGGTGGTGTTCCGGTAGTCAGTGTTTTACTACATGCCCCATAAAGCTTCAGTTTTGGAAGGACACGGTCTTCTTTTTGTTCATTGTGGATCGTCAGAGCCTATGGTGTTGGTTCCTATGGGTTATCGTGTGTTCAGTTTCAATGCCGTGAGATTCACATCAGAAGAACAGGGCCACCCAGAGGGGGGTGGGGGCAAAGGGGGCAAATTGCCCCGGGCCCCGAGTTGCTGGGGGGCCCTGAAAAATTTTTGTTGGGCCCCAGCCTTTTTTGTTTGTTAAATATTTCCGCTCAAAGGACAAGATATCTGTTTTCTTGGGCTAAGTACCGAATTTTGGCATAAAAAAATGAGATAAAGTCCCTCGAAAGCAATTGCAACGTACTCGTCCGGAAAAATTTTGTACTCCGGAAAAAATTTTTTACTCCCTAAAATGGTACACTGACCGAAAGTTTTTTTGCGACCGGGGGGGGGGGGGGGTTGTTCTCGGGAAAAAAAGTTTTCCGGGAAAATTTTTTTAGATAGGGGCCCCTAAAAAAAAATTTGCCCCGGGCCCCCGCCAACCTCTGGGCGGCCCTGCAGAACAATCGCTATATTTGTCTATAAAAGTTGATGAAATCTTCGCCGATTGCAATAGCCCAGCATTGATAGAGTATTGAGATACATCCCAGTTGTGTTTTTAGGGTAAGCCGTTTGTTTTAATCCTTAAAGCCAATACAAAGGCAATGTATCTACGCAATGCTTCTTGCTTTTTCTATGATTCACATTTTTATAGCCAATATTGGTAACAATATTTGTGCTTTCTATTTTGAATATAGATAGATTGATATTTATTAATATATGAATATGAATATATGCATATAGAGCTAAAAAATAGTTTAAGTTAGAGAAGCCAACACTGTTCATTTGGTTTGATCATAGAGGTTTGATTACTTTGGTATTTTATACGTACCATTAAAGTAATTAACCCATTGAATTGCATCGAGTTGCATTAATTGCACCCTACTTTATTATTTTACTCTAACGCCAGATTATTTTACTCTTTCTAATGGCAGCTGGCCTATCTGCCCATGTGCCTAGTTAACCCATTGAGTCACATTGTGCCCTCATGCGCCCTACTTTAATATTTTACTCTGTCTAACGCTGGCACTTAAAGGGTTAAACAGAAGATTGTTTTTATATATTGCAGTTCTCTGACCTCAGTGATCTAAGACGAGATGGAACAGGACAATCTTTTATCTTTGGGAATGTTATTTTGTGGGATTTCTAGATTCTGGCATTGCCACCTTCTCAAACAATTCAACCTCAAGGTCCAGATACTGTTAATGAAGATTTGGACAGTGTGCTGTCACTAATAAATTTACAAGGGCAAACTGGATATAACTGATCTACAACCAATAAATTCAGTGTGCTTGGTGGGTACTATTACTCTACAGTGCAGCATTGCTTATTGCAAAAAGTGGACCATGGGACAGAGATGATCCAAGAAACAATTATAACAGTGACATAGATTACTAGAATATTGTAAATTGATGTTTGTGATGTTATTCTGAGTGTGCATCCACACCGGGCAAGCTGAAAAGTTTGCCTGACCATGGTGGGAATCGAACTTGCCATCTTTGGGATATTAGTCCAATTATGCCCTACCAACTGAGCTCAGCTCGGTGTGGATGCATACTCAGAGTAACATCACAAACATATTCACCTGAGTAAATAACACCAACACACACAAGAAGTATATTGTAAATTGTTGTTATTTTATTATGGATTCCTACATATTTATTTTATTATGGATCCCTACAATTGGGTCATTCCAGAAAACATCCATACCGCCCCCACAGAGGAAATAGGAAGTTAACCCCCCTACCCCCTTCGGATGTCCTAATACATTTACTATTATCAGAAACAATTTTTTCTCCCCCTCCGGACGGCAGAAATTTCCTCTGTGGGGGGAGTATGGATCTTTTCTGGAACGACCCATTATAACAGTGACATAGATTACTAGGCTAATGCGGTAAATTGTTGTTATTTTATTTTGTTATGGACAAAATTTCTCCAGATCCATGGATCTTTTTTGGCAATAGATATCAACTTGATCAAAGCTTTATTTTCCTCAAAGGTCCATTTATGTTTTTTTCACTGGTAACTTCTCTGACAGAGTCAGCCTGATCTTTCTGCTAGGAAACTACAAAAAAGTATGTCATTTACTAAAATGGAAATTGGGGTGCAGATGACATATGAATAAGCATACATGAATAATGTTACACTGCAGAATAATGTTACACAGAGGTATTAAGGTGGAGTAATACAGACAACAAAATAGCTGCAATTTGCAACAAAATCTGATTTCAACAGATGTTAAGTGGAGATGTTGACACATAACTTAATACAAGTCATAGAAATGTTGACAGATGTTGCCTCGTACATGCGTTGAAATCAGATTTTGTTGCAAGTTGCAGCAATTTTGTTGCTCGTATTTACTCCAGCTTTACACTGAATATACAAAGACAATTTATAAGAATAAAATAGCAAAGAATAACAGTACATTTATAAGTACAATTTCGTCTACCATATTTTTTTTATTATACCTTTGCTGATGTGCCAAGACTTTGAAACAAAGCTCGATTGAATGGAGTGAATGATGAACTCTCCACACGAGATATTTTCCTGGCGTATCAGTATTAAATTTGAGTTTCCTCATTTTCTAAATCATGATCAACAATGACAACATCGCCATCATTAATAGTTCCATTTTTTCTCCAATAAACTCGAATAAGTCGAATTCTATAAAAACAAATGATACAATCAGGAACAATACGTTTATAGAAAAGCTGGCTTGTTTACGTTGCATTCGCGCCATATTTCCTGTAGAATTCCTCTTTTCCCGCGATTGGTGACAACAAAAGTAAAAATACCCCATTTTCAAACAACGATTACTCGCCTGTTTCAGGGGGTTATTTATGTTTTAAGGTACCAATAGAAAGAGTAACCCTTACTGAATACAATGATGTGAATTTTATTGAATTTCCCGATTTATAAACCTAATAACCCCCTGCATATATCAAAGCCGTTTTCGTGTCATGGCACTATACCGGGAATATACCCCATTTTCAAACCGCGATAACTCGTCGGTTGGAGGGGATTATTAATGTTTTAAAGTATCAGCTAGAACCGTGACCCTCCCCGAATTCAATGATGTGAATTTTGCTGAATTTCCCGATTTGATTTATAGAGTCAAACAGCACCGTTCGAAAGGTTGCTTCTGATTGGCTCTCGAGCTAAGTTCGGTGGTCGTGGTGGTCGGCCAATGATATTGCCAACAACTTAACTTATTAATTATTGGAGTTGCATTGTTAGAACTGACACCGATTGAGTTTAACTATTATCTATTCAGGATGTAATAGGGTGTTATAATTGACAATAGATAAGATTAAGATAAGATAGCATATAACTATAAGGTCTATTTACATTGTGCATAGGGTGGCAGCATTATATTGACTATTGAGGCATTATACATGGCACATACGCAGTACACACGGTGTATACCGCGGTGGCGGTGGTCGTCGTAATATACTGAGATGTTATACGTTGTATATATACGCAGTATACACGGTGTATACGGTGGTGGCAGTGGTCGTGGTGGTCGTGGTGGCCGTGGTGGTCGTAATATACTGAGGTATTATACGTTGTATATATACGCATTATACACGGTGTATACGGTGGTGGCAGTGGTCGTGGTGGTCGTGGTGGTCGTGGTGGTCGTAATATACTGAGGTATTATACGTTGTATATATACGCAGTATACACGGTGTATACGGTGGTGGCAGTGGTCGTGGTGGCCGTGGTGGCCGTGGTGGTCGTAATGTATTGAGGTATTATACGTTGTATATATACGCAGTATACACGGTGTATACGGTGGTGGCAGTGGTCGTGGTGGCCGTGGTGGTCGTGGTGGGCGTGGTGGTCGTAATGTATTGAGGTATTATACGTTGTATATATACGCAGTATACACGGTGTATGCGGTGGTGGCAGTGGTCGTGGTGGTCGTGGTGGCCGTGGTGGTCGTAATGTATTGAGGTATTATACGTTGTATATATACGCAGTATACACGGTGTATACGGTGGTGGCAGTGGTCGTGGTGGTCGTGGTGGTCGTGGTGGCCGTGGTGGTCGTAATATACTGAGGTATTATACGTTGTATATATACGCAGTATACACGGTGTATACGGTGGTGGCAGTGGTCGTGGTGGTCGTAATATACTGAGGTATTATACGTTGTATATGTACGCAGTTAACAGGGTGTATACGGTGGTGGCAGTGGTCGTGGTGGCCGTGGTGGTCGTGGTGGTCGTAATATATTGAGGCACTATACGTTGTATATATACGCAGTGGTCGTGGTGGCCATTGAAACAAAATAAACGCCGTTGAACTAAAATATTACATACATACACGCATATACTTGATTTTCTCATGCTGACCACAACAACCGGCTAATTTCAATGAGAGGCCTGAATATAAGCTATTTACAAAATATTATTTACATTGCCAAATTGCATGGCTAGCAAGCCAGTCTCAACTCATTTTTATTTCAAAATCGTTTTGAATCAGCAAATTTTTTATTCACGGGGAATATTATTCCAATGTGTATGAGGCTCCTTTCGGTTGTAATTGAAGCACACCTCTTGCCGAATCCGAAATGCCGAATTATTTCTTCGGAATTCGAAGAGCTAAATCAGTTCCTTTATTTCTGAAATTGTAAGTTTTTTCTCTTTCCTTATTGGAAATAAAAACTGCTTTTATAGTTTGGGTGCGGTGTGACCATTTAGAATTTTATACATAAAAATAGCTTTCAAGTAATTTCATCTCTTGTATATAGAGGTTTCCAATTTACGTTTCTATAATTAAGTCAGGGTATCGAACATCGTATTTTGCCCCAGTAATTACTCTTGCAGCACGACAATAATTTTGATTTTTGTTATCAATGGTATATAATTTATGTATACTGCAATCAGTTAAGATATCGCCATTATTATATGTGGAAAGTATTGGTGACAAAACACGAATGCAATATAGCTATATGCATGCACATTGATTTTGTTCTGACTTGCTTGCCTTTAGCAGCAAATCCTCGGCAGTCTTTTCCGGTGCAAATGAAGTGATTCAATTCAGTTGCACTTTTGCGGACATGGCAGTACCCGAGAGCATTGCTTGCTGTTATAGGTCCGAACGCACAGAACATTGCATCGGATACCTGGACCGGAGCACTTGCCATAGGCATAGATGCAGCTACATTTAGCACATCTTGTATGGAATTTCTGAGAGTTTCACTACACACAAAGTTATCTAAGTCCGGTTTCAAAATAGCGACCGGAGGAGATTTGTCACAAAACTTTACTTCATCGATATGACGACAACTAAACTCGGCTAAGCGTGATGAATTGTGTTGAACTGATCAGACAATGTTCATTGATAAAATCACAAAATATACTTGACATGGTATATGTATTCTGTGATGAAATATTCTTTTGTGCAAGTCAAAAATAGAGAAAATGTAAAAATCAGTCCAGTCCAACTGTCCAGTCCAGTCCAACTGTCCAGTCCAGTCCAGTCCATGTTTTGTACTATGCCTTTATATTCGATAAATATATTCATTGTAAGTTGAACGTTAATGGCGTAACACTGTTTATTACATGGTGTCAGGAGAAACTACAATCATGGAACATATGAAGCCTATGCGTCCGTTAAAAATGGACGGAAATGTGGCAGAAAACTGGAGGAAATGGAGACAACGCTGGAATCTTTACGCGAAAGCCAGTGGAGCCAACGAAAAAGACGAAGAGATTCAGTGTGCAATTTTCCTTCACACAATCGGAGAAGAAGCATTGGAAATCTAAGATACTTTCACCTTTACTGAAACTGAACAAGATAAGATCGAGCCGCTCATTCAGAAATTTGAGACCTACTGTACACCAAGGAAAAACACGACATACGAGCGATATATACTTAATACGTGTGTACAAAACGGAAGAAAACTCGATGCATTTATACTTGACCTTCGCAACAAAGCAAAGACCTGTGAATTTGAATCACTACAGGACAGCTTAATTAAAGATAGAATCGTTTGCGGAATCGACAGCAACAGCATCAGAGAGCGTTTGCTCCGAGACAACGACCTCGCGTTAGAAAAGGCGACTAGCATCGTTAGAGCCGCAGAAACAAGCAAGACCCAAGTACAAAAGTTAAATAATTCTTCGCTCGAAGTTGGATCAATTCACAAGAATTTTAAAAGAACCTCTCGCAGTAAATACCAGAGGGAAGAAACGAAACGTAACCAAGTAGAAATGTCAGCAAAACACAGCCTTGTTCGCGTTGTGGCTCAAATCATGCACCAAAACAATGCCCAGCGTTTGGACAAACATGTCGCAAGTGTCACGGAAATAATCATTTCGCCAAAATGTGCCGCTCGAAAAACCTCAACACTCAAATGTCAGAAACACGCGTACACGAAGTTCGAAAAGAAGAAACTACCGATAATTCTAGTACAGAGCCAGAGGAAGACGAATTGTTTATCGGAGAAATTACGACAACAACCGCCAAAAATGTATTAATAACTAACCTCAAAGTTAACGGCAAAAATGTAAATTTAAAAATAGACACTGGCGCTCAGTGCAATGTGCTACCCGAGGAAATTTTCGACGGAATTAAGCAGAAACCACAACTCATCGCTACTGGGACAAAACTAACAGCATATGGAGGAGCACAGGTTCCGGTGAAAGGAAAATGCGTTTTAGAAATCGAGCAAACTGCAGACCGGAAAACGGAAGTCGAGTTCTTTGTTGTCAAGGCTCCCAATGCCAAAGCACTGATTGGGTTACAAACATGTCAGAATCTTGAATTAATTAGCATAAATCAAATCAGTGAAATCCAGGAAAAGAAAGCAGACATCATCGAGGACTACAAAGATGTATTCACTGGTTTGGGTCTCGTCGAAGGAGAATATCACATCGAGTTACAAGAAAATGCCAAAGCAACGATTCAACCACCGCGAAAAGTACCATTAAGTCTGATACCAAAACTGAAAGAAACTTGATAATCTTACGAAATCAGGAGTTATCAGCAAATTGGATCGACCTACCGATTGGGTTAATAGTCTCGTAATCGTAGAAAAGAAAGATGGATCACTGAGACTGTGTTTAGACCCGAAAGATCTTAATAACTCAATAAAAAGAGGACATTACAAATCACCGTCCGCTGAATCCATCTCAAATCACCTGAGTGGAAAGAAAGTATTCACCGTAATTGACATGCCCAACTGCTACTGGCACAAAAAACTTGATGAAGAGTCAT